TTCTTTGCGGGGGGAGGGTAGGGGTAAATGCTCCCTGCACATCGTTAATGTATTTCAAAGATTATTTGCACTCTTCTGTTTTAATTTTGACTAAGTTTTCATGTGTGGCTTTTGACATCAGATGAGTGGTTGCTGCACGGATATTATTATAACACGTTTCAGCTGGCCACAACAGTGCTTTCAAGGTTGCCAGCTATCTTTGTGAGTAGATATGACAGGTTTTTTTTTCAACCATAAAAATGAGTGACCATAATTTAGAGCAAAGAATGCACATTACACTTTGTGTAAAGTTAAGTAAATCTGCAAGCGAGACACTTGAAATGTTAAATGTAGTTTATGGTGAAGTAATGTCAAGAGCAAGAGTCTTTGGCATAAAAGGTTCAAAGAAGGCAGAGATGATACCCACGATGATGCAAGAAGTGGCTGGCCAGTCACCACGGGACATATGCAAACTGAGAGGGTCGTAATTTGTTTTGCTCAAATAACCAACTAAGAAAAAAACGGGTGAAAACTTAGACCAACTCATTCTGAAAGAAAACTTGCACCTGAAGAAATTTTCTAGCAAGATGATCTCTCCTGCTGTTGTGGTCAGTGATCCTGTAGAGGCCAAACCAAAATAGAGCTTGCACAGGAACCTGCCACTTGGGTGCATATTCAGGGCAGGCCTACAATTTTGTTTCATTGGTTTTGGAGAAGCTAAAATGAGCTGAGCTTCTTCAGACATTTTTCATTGGCTCTGTAGGTTTAAGCCACTTAACAGTGATTTAAGCAGAGTGAAACCTGTAGAGTTGAGTGTGCAAGTAGATAGCATGGAGCTAGAAGTTTATTAGGAGGAACCTAGCAAATCATTAGCTCAGAATGAGGAACTCAACATGGGAGCATTTCTAATTTCAAGTTGAGTTCATTTGAATAATCGGGTTACCTGCAGGCTGGGAGTTAAACCTTAAACAGGGAGCTAGAGATCAATGTAACTATGTGGAAACATCTCAAAAAATCGTGGCCACTTTTAGGCAGAAATATTCAGACTTGTAATAATGAAACTTTTCTGTTGTGGGAGACGTTGGAAACAGGTATTCAAGTCTGTTAGCAAGAAAAGAATCAGAAGAGACTGCAAGGAATGGTGGGCAGTTTATGACACTTTCCTCTTCTACCCCCCCTCCCCCAAGCCCCCAGTCAGGACCTGATTTTGGTCAAAAGTTAATGAAACCTCCTATTCGTTATGTAAATTCCAATTTTAAATAAATTTTCAGATATAAACTGTTCAGGTCTGCAACTTGGTATGAAAGGTAGACAAATAGGGCTCAGTTTGATCCTAACTTCTTTCATCAGAATGAGATTCCATAGGTTGAGAAGAGTTTCAAAAGGCAATACTGTGAATAGCAACATGTAAACAACACACAATCTTTTCAACAAGGACTGAGTTTTGACCTTCAGGTTTTCCATGTTTTATTTGACTGAGTGTGATGGTCCCATAAGAACACTGAGTTCAACAAGTGTGAATTTCTTATTCAGAAACTTGGGTCTTTGCCCTAGTTTCCTTACCAGTCTCTAGCATGAAGCTGCCATTATTCAGTATCAGTACTGTTGTAACCTAGATATTCAGTACATCAAAATTCCAGTGTATGGATGACAAGTCATAGCCCTGTGGTAGTGACCCTGAGAAAACTAGTTCTATTAGTTAATACTGTTTTTGTTAAACCTCCCAGAAATTCAGTTTTACATTTTGTGGAAACATGAGACAAGTCTGTGTTACCTCTGGGACGCTGCTAGCCAAAGCTGTATGGCCTACAAGGCAAAAATTATATAACCAACATAATTTTTTCCTATTGTTTTAGTTTCGTTACCAGATTTTTACAACTTGAACTTTGGATGGTGTTTTGTACTGTGTAATGAAATTTATTAAAAGTATACATAAATGACACTCCAATAAATCATACATTGATTTCTTATACTTGTTTTGATAATCTGTATTTTATTATGAAGTATTTGCTAATCCTCCATATTTTAGCCACATGCTGATAACTCTTGTGATGCAAATCTAAGTAAATTTTAACAATTGCCATACCTCTGAAAATTTCTAAATTGACTAACAGTTAAGATCTACCCTCACCTACCCACCAGTAAGGTACTAGTGAAAACACAGCATAGGAGGTGGTGTGGTGTGGTGAGGTTCCAGCTCTGGCTGTATTTGTGATCTTAAGCTTTCCATCAGTATTGGATACCTGAGGCTGCTGTAACAGATTACCGCAAACTTGGTGGCTTACTGAGACAACAGAAATGTATTCTCTCACAATTCTGTGGGCCAGAAGTAAGAAATCAACTCCACTGGATCAAATCAAGTGTATGCTCCCCCAGGAGGCTCTGGGGGACCGGGAATCAACATGTTCCTCACACCTTCCAGCTTCTGGTGGCTGCCAGCATCCCTCAGCTAGAAACTGCATCACTCCAATCTCAAGGCCAACATTAAATCTGCTTCTTCACATGGCCTCCTCTGTTCATGGAATCTCCTGCCTGCCCACAGAGATGATCCAGGATAGTTTCCCCATCTCAAGACCCTTAATCACATCTGCAGCGACCCTCTTTCCAATACGGTAACATTTACAGGTTCGAGAATCTGATCTCTTTCGGGCCTACTACACCATCTCTCTAGGTTTTCCTTCTGTCTTCACCATATAACCTCTAGAACAGTACTGCCAATAAACTTTCTGTAGCAATGGAAATGTCCTGTATCTGCTGTCCAGTACCGTAGCCCCTAGCCACAGGTGGGCTAGGGGCTTGAAACGGGGCTAATGCAACTGGGGGCCTGATTTTTTAATTTTAGTTTTGCCTTAAATAGCCACGTGTGACTAGGAGCTGTCCTACTGGGCAGCGCAGATCTAGTGTTTCTATAGTTCTAAACTCTGGACTCCAAAGCAACTAAAGAGGTGTTTTGTCTTTCCTCCAAAGTTTTACCCCCTGGCTATAAAACTGCTCACATCTTTCACCTGCTATTGTTTAGTCTAGTGGACTTCAAGCTTTTTAGCCAAAAGCCTTGTTACTAAAAAAAAAAAAAAAAAATTATCTGGAAAATCAAAGTATGAACAAGACTGTAACTGGCTGAAGTTGGTTAGTGGGAGGGGGAGGATCTGTGGCAGACCCAGGGTCTCCACCTGTCTACCCAGCCCAAGTAACTCCTCAAGGGGCAAAGAACCAACACCAGGACTCAGTGGAGTGGAGCCATTTGTGAAACCAGTGGTCATCCTTGGGATCTTTGCTAGAGCCTTCAGACTTTTGTAGTTAGCATTTGAAGTCACTTCATCTAGGCTTTTAGCCTACCGAATACCCTCTCCACCACCACACTGCTAACTAGTCACAGCACTCAATTAAGGAAGCATCACAAGCCTTTACACTGGAGGCCTCCGTCAATGGACCAGTCGCAATCACATCCACTGATCTGCTATGTTCATGGATGTGTTCACCTAGAATAGTACCTGGCCCTAGGAGGTGCTGTATCGTTTTTTATGAACATTAAAGCCAGCATTTTAGTACCATATAAATATCAAATATCAGCATTTTCATTTTGATTCAATATTACAGTGATCATACGGTATTGTCAAAATGGCCCTATAGCACTACTAAGTGCTTACTACTCACCAGGGTATTTTTAGTAACTGTCATTATTATCAACTTACAGATAAAGAAACTGAAGTTAAGAAGTAGCTGGTCTAAGATCATACAGGGTGGGGATCTGAATCTAGGCTCTTATTATGCCACTTCTAAGTAAGCCACCCACTTGAGTGAAATTTATAATTCATTCCAACACAATTAACGATAGTACTAAACTTAATTATAAATGATACTGCTCCTTGTACTATAGTCATCATGGGTTTAGGGCTCAAGTTAAATATCTGAGAACCTATAGTATGCCAGGCACTTGGTTAGACCCCAGGAATATAGTGGGAACCAAGAGGGACTTTATGGGCAGGGGCAATTAGGCAAGCTCACAGGCAACTACAAAATGTGCTTCCAAGTACGATAAGGCCATTACAGGGTGCTACAGAAATCCATAACAAGAGCACTTGGGAGGGAAGACAGTGCTTATAGAAACGTGGGAAAGTGTATGGGTGCATTCTAGGTTAAGTTACAGCATTCAGAGGCCTGAGAGGCCAGAAAGCAAGCTGCCATCTTAGAATGGTCTAAAATATACACCTTAGCCCTGCACACAAACTGCTGTCAGATCCTCCCGTAAGGTCACTTCTCTGCATCTTCACCTTGCTTTCCCCCCAAACCTTTAAACACATCCCTCCCCAGGGCCTTTGCACTTACTTTTCCTCTGCCTGAAATGCTCTTCACCCAAATATATGCAGTTGACCTTTGCACAATGCAGGGGTTAATCTGCATAATTTATAGATGGCCCTCCATGGACTATGTAGTGCTGTAGTACTTACAAATGAAAATTATCTGTGTATGAGTGGACCCATAAAGTTCAAATCCATGTTGCTCAAGGATCAACTGTATATAACCACATTATCTCCCGCAGCTCTTTCAGGTCTTCTGTAGTTAGTCATTCTCCGACCAGCTCCATCTGAAATTATCATGTCCTCCACTCAGTGCACATACACGCCCTTCCTATTTCCCTTATCTTGTTTTCCCTCTAGCGATTACACTAACATTTGTTCAATAAATTTCCTATATTAGGAAGCTAGATTTTACAGAATAATATGGAATATAAAAAGAAATGACGGGCTTCCCTGGTGGCGCAGTGGTTGGGAGTCCGCCTGCCGATGCAGGGGACAGGGGTTCGTGCCCTGGTGCGGGAGGATCCCACGTGCCGCGGAGCCGCTGGGCCCGTGAGCCATGGCCGCTGGGCCTGCGCGTCCGGAGCCTGTGCTCCGCAATGGGAGAGGCCGCAACAGTGAGAGGCCCGCGTACAGCAAAAAAAAAAAAAAAAAAAAAAAAAAAAGAAATGACGTTTAAAAAGAGGCTAAAACAATATTTTGAAATAAGCATTAAAAATGAACCCAAGGTGAATACCTTTAAGACTTCTGGAAAATGAGGTATTTGTAAACATTCAGAGCTGATCAACAGGAGTAACTCCTAGCACACACTGGGCTGTTAATCTTGCTACACTGACACATTTCTTCCCATATGAAAACTTTCCCGTCACCTCCAATACTTTCAAATTCTAACTATCTAGCATCATTGTGTCCTTTAAATTCCTTTTTACAGCTCATTATGCTACATTCATCAGAAGCATTTAACATGCTGATGGATGCTCCTTTTGTATCAAATTTTGACTTCTTTTAGGTTCAATGTAATTATATACTATAAAGAGCTTATGTTCTCAACAGTAAGTCTCTGGTCCTTAACACTCCCCGCCCCCAAACTGACCTAATCCCCATCTGAATACTTCTACCGTTTAACCAGGACACTAAATCTCAAGAGATAAGTGACTTTTCATAGTTTACCTAGCCAAAAAGGTACATATGAGGCTCCCTGTTCAGGGCTAGGCATATGTGATGGAATCTCAATTCACTACCTGAACTACTGCTTCACCTGTAATTTTACAGTATCCACTTCACAGAGCTGTGAGAGTTAAACCACCAGCACTACCCCACTGCCCTAAACTCCCAAGCCAGGGCAGATACATGGTTGCTACAAGTTACGTGAGAATAGTTGACCTCATTGGAGGCACTTGTGTGTTGTCAACTGCAGAGTGATAGTTGGTTTAAGTCAGCTAAAATACCAGTGTCAGGGCATTCCAGCTTCACTGGCTTGTACTTGTAGTCTTCAACCTATAAAAAGAAAAGTTTTAAAATTACCTTTCTGAATAGAGAAAAACAAACAAACAAAAAAACCTTTGAGGTATTCTTTTCAGTTTGTCTCAAAGGATATCCAGAAAAAGCCTTTTGTACACCTGTTCCATCATCTAGATTTTTTTCCACCTTCAGAGATGACCACAAGATCCAAATACTCTATACTGTATGGTATCCCCAGAGGAGTCTAAAAAGCAGGCCTGAAGGTACCGTCAAACCTAAGGATAAGTTTATCACTTTGCTATTAACTGTACAAATATCACTAAGGTGCTAAAACAATGAAAACCTTCTGGTTCAGCTGTGACTCCAGACAGGATCCAAAGAGGAGTTCTACAATCTCTTCTCTGGGTTTTATGGAGACTTTCTTTACCCTTCTGTGTTAGCCTCTTAAGGCACTGCGTCAGCCTTAAAAGGGCACAAGAAAGGGCGATTTGGGTTTTTCACAGGGTTCTCTACGATTTCCTGCGTTCCTCTCGTCAGTGTCCGTGGACCTCAGCAGTTTCTTTAACCGAGTCTGAAAACCCACTAGAAGCAGCTGTTCTGCTTGTGAACGTCCGTTTCCTTTGTTAAAGGAGGGCCGGCTTCGGGCCTTTGCACCAAACACGTGCTTGGGAACCCTCCGGTCGCCATTGGCCACGTGCTCGGGCCCGGCTCATTTCACCTCACTCAAGGACGGGGACATACCTGCTTTTAGAACTCAGACCGCTGCACCCACAGTCGTTGGAGACAAACTCCCCAGGCTCACGGTCGGTCCGAGACCCGCTGTTGCCGCCGCCGCTGGGCCTGGCCCGAAACCGCTGCAAAGTAGCCGCGGCTGCGCCCTGGGGAAGCAAAGCGCAAACTTGTTACCGCGCCCGGGCCTGGCCGCCGGTAAGCCTCGGGGCGGCTCGGCGCGGCTCGGCGCGGCGCGTGTGCCTAGCGCGGCCCCGAGACGGGCACGGTCGCCCGCCCCCCCCCAGGCCGCCGAGGGCTGCTCTACCCCTGCGTTCTGGCCGCCGGGAACAGTGGAGCTCCGGGCGGGCAAAGCTCGAGGGGACACGGGGCAAGCCCAGCCCCACCCGGGCCCGGGGACCGGCCGAGTGCCACCCCCCCGCCCCTTCACTGCGCTGACCCACACTCACCGCTCAATTCAGCAAGACTGAGGGCGATGCGGGCGTGCGGCGCTGAGACATTGCAGTCGGGGCGGGGCGGGGCGGGGCGGGAAGAGGAGAAGGAGAGGGTAGGGGCGGGGCGGGAGGAGGAGAAGGAGGGGATAGGGGCGGGGCGGGAGGAGGAGAAGGAGGGGGTAGGGGCGGGGCGGGCAGCCAATCCCCGGGAAGTCTCCGGAGGCGGGTGGTGCGGGTCCGGCCATTGGTGCCCGCGGTCCCTTGCCGGCAGGGGTCTTTCTGGTCTTTCCGTGGCGGCAGCATGAGCTAAGCCTACGCGGAGCAAGCTTCTCGGAAGCTCCAGGAGTCTTGACACCTCCCCAGGCTTTGGCGCTCGTGGATCTGGTTCTCTGAGGCCAACGTGCCTTCCTCTGGACTCTCCTTAGGAGGCTCTAGCAGTTACCCCAGGGCTGAGGCAGGACCCAAGAGATTCCCCTTCTTACGACTACACAAGTTCAGTATGTGTTTAGAACCTGTCCTGCTAAACTGTAAGCTTCTTGAACACTGTCACCCCATGGTCCCTCCTAAACCTGGGAGGACCAGCCTCCTTTCTTCATGCTCTCTGTTCATTCATTCGCAGCGTTCAATAAGTATGTTGGAGGGGTGGGAGTGGCGCGGGGGGGCTATGTTGGGGGTGAGGTGGGAGGGAGGGAGGGAGGGAGGCACTATAATCCTTCCCGAGGTGACGGACTCAAACTTGGCAGACGATTAAGTGGGTTTAAATTGGAGTATGTGCTAAAGTGAGAACTTCTATTCCTGTTCTAAGAGTTTACCTTCTGTTAACAAATTTAATCCTCAAAATATTTTTAATCATCCCCACATTATAGGTGGGGAAGCCGAGACATGTCGAGTAACTTTCCAAAGTAACAGAGAAGCTAACAAGTGGTGGATTTTGGATTTGAACCCTAACAGTTTGAAGGCAGAGCCCCTCAAAATGCTATACTACATTGCTCTCCTCAGGTGGGTGGAGTCGGGAGCGAAGGGAAACAAGTGGCCTGCGTTTGATTGGCTGATCAAGGTAGGCATCTCCAGTGGAGTTGGGGGTCTACAGGCACAAAGAACAGCTTATGGTAGAGCCCGGAGGTAGACTGGAAAGCACTTGACCTGTTAAGGAACCCAGAGTGTAAATGGAACTTAAGGATGTAGTAGCAGAGTGGCCTGATAAAGAGATTGGGGCTAGACCATGCAGGAGGCCCTGGGGGGAGCTTGTGTTTTATGCTGAGAACAATGGAAAGCCGTTCAAGCATTTTATTTTATTTATTTTTTATTAATTTTTTATTGGAGTATAGTTAGTTTACAATGTTGTGTTAGTTTCTGTTGTACAGCAAAGTGAATTAGTTATACATATACATATATCCACTCTTTTTTAGATTCTTTTCCTGTATAGGTCATTACAGAGTATTACGTAGAGTTCCCTGTGCTATACAGTAGGTCCTTATTAGTTGTCTATTTTATATATAGTAGTGTGTAGATGTTCAAGCATTTTAAAATGGAGGATGATAGGACCTGATGCAAGCTGTGGTTTATTAATTTATTTATTTTTGGCTGTGTTGGGTCTTCATTTCTGTGCAAGGGCTTTCTCTAGTTGCGGCGAGCTGGGGCCACTCTTCATCGCGGTGCGCGGGCCTCTCACTGTCGCGGCCTCTCTTGTTGCAGAGCACAGGCTCCAGACGCGCAGGCTCAGTAGTTGTGGCTCACGGGCTTTGTTGCTCCGCGGCATGTGGGATCCTCCCAGACCAGGGCTTGAACCCGTGTCCCCTGCATTGGCAGGCAGATTCTCAACCACTGCGCCACCAGGGAAGCCCCCAAGCTGTGGTTTAAAAATGTGATTAAGATGATTTGACGAAAAGAAATGTAATAAAATTTATCAGTAAATCCTAGCAGCCAGTCACTACCTTGCAGATATTCATAAGATCATAGTAAAATGGGTTAAGGTGGCAGAGGGAACACCCGTTCACTGTCCCTTCATCCTTCTTCTCTCAGAGTCTTCCAAACAGAGACTCTGTAGCAGGGAGCAGGCTCTGGATTGCCAAGCTGAGAATAAACAACATGACCCTGGCTGTAGGAAGATAGATGTTCCTCTTCTTTTTTACTGCCTTGCACAGAAACACATTACTCCTAGTATCTTCCTCAGACCTTTTTTTAAAAAAAATTTTTCTGGTTGTGCTGTGTGGCATATGAGATCCTAGTTCCCTGACCAGGGATTGAACCCGCGCCCCCTACAATGGAAGCGTGGAGTCTTAACCACTGGACTTCCTGGGAAGTCCCCTTCCTCAGACCTTTTTTAATCCACTTTCTTTTTTCCAATGTAGAAAAGTCCTAATAATAAACCTGAAGCTCTCTTAGTCCCATTTTTGTGGGAAAGCCCAGCTCGTTCATAGTTGATAAATGTCAGAAGAGAGGCTGACATCCATGTATAAAGAAAGAAGTGGTACATGTGAAAAGTGAGATGGATTTAACCAGCAACATGAAAATGACTTGTAATATTTTTGTATTTGTTTTGATATTTGTAATTTTTAATAATTTATTGTTGTTCATTCATTTACTCATTGTTTATATCCCATTTTAGTCCAAAAAGAATATGAATGTAGTTTATAAGACTATATTACAATGATATTTTAAAAACAGTGAGGAAATTGGATTGCAGGAAAAATAAGATAAAAGTCTGGGGCTAGTACACAGACTATAACCCATGAAGCGCTGTACACTTGCTGAAAGAAGGCCAAAAATTTTGCTCTGAGCTGCTTAGCAGTCAATGCGAAAATCAGAAAATGGAAACAAATGAGACACTCAAGAGAAGCACAAAGATTCCGGAAGGAAATTTCCTCCACGGATCTTCATAAAGAGGGCACTGCAACCAACTTCCTCAATATCAATAACCTAAAAAAATGTTTGTAATTCACATGTCCGAGATTTCTGACACCCAGGCAGAGGATTTCCTAGTCAAGGTGATTTCACATACTTAAACTCACTTAAAACAATTTTTCCCCAAGTCCTAATTATCATGTGGCAAGATGGTTATCAGTCAGGCCAGGTGACATTTGAGAAGGAAATTGCATCTGATTATGAAGCAGATAGGCCACACTCTATAAAAATACTGAAATCAGTGATCGAAAACAAGTAGTATGCTCCCATAAGAAAGATATGGCAATTTGGGTTAATTCCCTGGTCAAAGATTCAGCATTAATTTGTGTGTGTGTGTGTGTGTGTGTGTGTGTACAGTATTAGATTTTTAAGACAACTAAATCTTTAACAAGATTATAAAATTAGGAAGTTCTCAACAATAAAATCCTAAGTCCAACACAGCACATCAAAGTACAAATTTGTTTTGATGTGAAGTTAATTCATTGCTTAGAGTAAATATCAACTGAATATTCGGTTAACAAGAATTTTATCCTCTTAGAACTTAAAGTGGCCTTTAAAAATTTTTTTTATTCATTTATTTATTGGCTGCATTGGGTCTTCGTTGCTGCGTGTGGGCTTTCTCTAGTTGCGGCAAGCGGGGGCTACTCTTCATTGCGGTGCAGGGGCTTCTCACTGCGGTGGCTTCTCTTGTTGCGGAGCACGGGCTCTAGGTGCATGGGCTCCAGTAGTTGTGTCACACGGGCTCAGTAGTTGTGGCGCGTGGGCTTAGCTGCTCCGCGGCACGTGGGATCTTCCCCGACCAGGGCTCGAACCCGTGTCCCTTGAATTGGCAGGTGGATTCTTAACCACTGCGACACCAGGGAAGTCCCGCTTTTCTCTTTTCTAAAAATGACCAAGGAACTTTGAGCTCAGTGCCTTTCTAGTCTGTCCATTAATTTCTCTGAGTTTACGGAATTATTCTCAATTCTCCCTCTGACCTTTTCCTGTTGAAAAGCTAAAAAGTAAGAACCTGCCTCTAATATTTGCCCTTCAATCTCACCCTAACACTGCAGGTACAACTGAAATTTTTGGAATCACAACACATTAAAATAATCAAGAAGCCCTGAGTTCCTTCATTCTTAAATTTTTATCATGAAAATTCCCAAATATGCCCAATGATAAAATTCAGCAAGTCCCTGTGTATTTGTCTTCCAGTCAACAGCTATCAACCAAAACCAGCATTTATTTTGCATACTTGTTTCATCTATCTACCTTTTTTCTTGAAATATTTTAAAGAAGACCCCCAGATACCATGTTATTTCACCCCTCAATATTTCAGTATTAATCTCAAAAGACATAATCGTACCTGACAACAATGCCAGCATGATTGTTAAGAAAGTACACAATAATTCCAAATTCATATTCGACTTCCCCCATTGTCTAAAAATGTCTGTTTTACAGTTTGTTTGAATCAAGATTCAAACAAGGTTTACTTATTGTATTTAGTTATGTCTTCAAAGCTTAAGCCTCTTCTGGTGAAGAAAAAAATGTCCTCCTTTTTTTCTTTTCTTTTTTTTTTTTTTTTATTCCAACACCTTTAACTTTTTAAATAACAGTTTTGGAGATATAATTCAGATACCATAAAATTCACCCTTTTAAAGTGTGCAATTCAGTATTTTTTAGTATATTCAGAGAGTTGTACAGTCATCACCATTATCTAATTTCAGAACATTTTCATCGCTCCAAAAAGAAACTCTCACCCACTAGCAGCCACTCACTACCTCTCTCCTCCCCACATCCTCTGGCAACCACTAATGTACTTCCTGTCTCGTTGGATTTGCCTATTCTGGACATTTCACATAAATGGGATCGTATAATACAAGATGTGGTCTTTTGTTTCTGGCTTCTTTTACTTAGCATAATGTTTTCAAAGCTAAACAAACAAGAGTAGTGCTATGCAGTGCTGGACTTCATTCCTTTTATGGCAGAATAATATTCCATTGATTGGACATACTAAATTTTGTTTACGTGTTTATCAGCTGGTGGACAGGTCAGTTGTGCTGTGGTGTGTTCCACATGCTGGCTGATTGCTTTTTCCTGCTGCTGTTCAACTTGTGTCTTTATCCTTCTCTCAAAGACTTGAGAGAAACCTCACATTGTTGAAAACTTGGTTGTCAGACCTTAGTGTGTGAAAGAACTACC